CTACTACTTCTTTGGTGTTTATTCGTTCAGTCGCTTCCGGCTCTTTGTGACCTCATGGACCAGCCCATGCCAGAGATCCCTGTCGGCCGTTGCCACCCCCAGCTCCTTCAGAGTCAAGCCAGTCACTTCAAGGATAACATCCATCCATCTTGCCCTTGGTCTGCCCCTCTTCCTTTTTCCTTCCATTTCCCCCAGCATCATTATCTTTTCCTAGCTTTCTCAGCTTCTCTTTATGTGGCCAAAGAACTTCATCTTTGCCTCTAATATCCTTCCCTCCAATGAGCAGTCTGGCTTTATTTCCTGGAGTATGGACTGATTTGATCTTCTCATGGTCCGAGGCACTCTCAGAATTTTCCTCCAACACCACAGTTCAAAAGTGTGTATTTTCCTTCGTTCAGCTTTCCTTATGGTCCAGCTCTCACATGCATCGGTTACTACTTCTTTGCAACTCCCATAAATTTAAAGATAGCATTTTTAGTTAAAACTCTGGAGTATTGCCTGACTTTGCTTAAAGTGTAGCAAAGTCGAGCTAAAGGGAGAAAACTCAGTATATTTTTAGGAAGGCACTGTGCATCATGTAGACTGCCAACACTAATCCAGGTTTTTTAAATTTATGCAGACAAGCCCTGAAGCAAGGATAGACTGCCTCCATAATCATTCCTTTTTGGCAAATGTAGTGTAGCTATGCTTAGATCGTAATTAATAATCTAGCTGGGACAGCATATGGCTCAACTCTGTAGAGTCGTATATGTATAATGTTGTTCTATGACTATATCAATTAAAACATAGGTTAGCACAGTGCATGTGATATATACAATTCAATTATTATTTGTTTCAATATCATGGGCACATATAAACACAAATTAATCAGTTATGAAAACATACATACCCTCAAGGACCTTAAGATCGTCGGAGAGACCCTGCTCTTGGTCCCGCTGCCATCACAATCCCGTTTGGTGGGAACGAGACAGGGCCTTCTGGGTGGTGGCCCCTCAGCTGTTGAACACCCTGGTTATGGGATCAAGCATTTGCAGAATAGATGGTTTTAATGGACTGTTTTTAGTTGATTGCAATGGACCGAATATGGTTTTAACAGACTATTTGAACTGATGGCAATGGATTGATTTGGAGGATGACATGAAATGGCGAATTGTTTTAATGTATTTATAACTGTTTTTAATGTAGGTTAAATGTATTTTATGCTGCGTATTGTTTTTAGCCGTCCTATGTTCCTCTTCAGAGGTGAGAAGGACGGAATAGAAATTCTCTTAATAATAATAATAATAATAATAATAATAATAATACATAATCAACCTTGAATAATAAGTTGACAATCACAAAATGTTGTAAATTCTATAAAAATCCTCGTGATTTCTTCTTAGGAATATTAAAGTTCAAACTCTGTTTTTTCTATGGAATGTTATCCAATTAAAGTTAATTCCCATGTGGATTCAAATAAATGTTTTCTAATTGAAGTTCGTTACCATGTAGATTCAAGTGGTTGTAGGACTTCTTGTCAAGTATGTGATGATAGCACTTGCAAAAATCCTTTGGATATCAACTACAAGGGTTAACTTTGTTTTGGGAAAATTCCCCTTCCTCAGGTTGCTACTCGATCGATTTAGATGGAATCTTCAAAGGAATTGATAGACTAAATTCAGAGACAACAAACTAGATATGCTATAGTCTATATAGCTCAACACTTTCCTTACAGAGTTGATCCATATCATTTTGTGAGCATTGCTCTTTGCTCATTTATGAACATGGCTGAAAGTGCAGATTTGTGAAATCCCTGCCCCAGATGTGGGCTGCAACCACTATAGGGAAGAGTTCTAGGAGGGTCAAATTCCAGATCTTCCTTAATCTCTTTATTGATCCTGATTTAGCCATGATTACGTTATTCCTTTATCGTCCATTTTTGAAAGATTACAGGAAGCAAGCAGGTGCACTGTAATTTTTTTCTAATCCTAAAATGACTCCCCAGGAAGACATTCATTCTGTATTTGTACTTTGTGGCTGCTGGGAATATCCTGCAATAAAATTTCCTCCCTGCTAATAAAAGGCTGAAATGATTGTTCATTTGAGGAGAGAGGCACATGTGTTCATATACTAAAACTGAAATGCCAAATCTTACGGGAATCCACATCCGCTTAGAGCTCAACTGTGCAACTAGGACTCTTAGTAAAGGAAAAAAACATAAGTATGGGAGCTTTTTTAAAAAATGAAGGAACTCCCAAATACCTTGCAAATAATATTTGGTGGGTGGCAGTGAATAGTACAATGGGAGAGGAGGTTGGTTGTTTGAGGAAGCTAAACCCAGCTCCCGAAGCCACCTGAGACGGGATGGGACTGGAGGTTTATGGCAGACTCTTGCCATCTACACTCCTGGAAAAAGAGGCTTTACAGTTCCAGATGACCTTTTGGTTTGCTAGCCATTTGAGACCCTTGTTTTATTATAGCTATACATTGTGGTTTTACTTTATTTACAAATTTTACTTTATGAAACTTTTGAGTTGAAGCATAGGGTCAAAAAGAGTGAAGTAATACAGTGCTGCTCCTCAATGCTCCCAAAGCCCAGTGCGGATTATCTTTTATTTTCTTGGCATTGAAATGAAATTCATGATAAGATAGTTCCTACACAGTCGTATTATACTTACAAACCAATTTGGCTGTAAATCAAGTGACTGTTTCTTTGCATATCCACTTACAAGAGGTTTTTTAAAAATGTAGTCAGTGGTACATGTTGTATAGATGTGAGAAACGGAGCAAAAAGCAAGAAGGAAGCAGAAAGCAACGAAGGCAGACTATAGCTACTGCTTTCTTTTACAAATATTTCCAGCTATTATTGTTGCAGGTTTGTCCACATTTGTGTAAGGAAGCAGCGGGACAAATAACTCCAGATAAGTGTCAAAGGCACATACAGAACACAAGCCATATTTCTCCTGTCTCTAGCAACTCAAGACGTTACTGCTGCCCAAGTCCTATACTTTTAAATTTTGCTTAATATCTACTCTAACTACCTTATTCCTGGGAAGAGAAATAGAAGAAATCAGACAAAAAACAAAATTACTGAAGAAAGCACAAGAGAGAAGGCTGGGCTGAAAAGGATGTCAGCCATATAGCCCAAAAAAACCTACAACAACCCAGTCTAGATCAGTGTTTCTCAACCTTCCTAATGCCGCGACCTCTTAATACAGTTCCTCATGTTGTTGTGACCCCCAACCAAAAATGATTCATGTTGCTACTTCATAACTTGCAATTTTGCTACTGTTATGAATAATAATGTAAATATCTGATATGCAGGATGTATTTTCATTCACTGACCAAATTTGGCACAAATACCTGATACGCCCAAATTTGAATACTGGTGTGGTTGGGTTTGTCATTTGGGAGTTGTGGTTTCTGGGATTTATAATTAACCTACAATCAAAGGGCATTCCGAACTCGACCAACGATGGAACTGAACCAAACTCGGCACATAGAATTCAGATGACCCACAGAAAATACTGGGTTTGGTGGGCACTGACCTTGAGTTTTGGAGTTGTAGTTCACCTACATCCAGAGAGCACTGTGGACTCATACAATGATGGATCTGGACCAAACTTGGTACGAATACTCAACATGCCGAAATGTGAACACTGGAGAAGTTTGGGGAAAATAGACCTTGACATTTGGGAGTTGTAGTTGCTGGGATTTATAGTTCATCTACAGTCAAAGAGCATTCTAAACCCCACCGATATAACTGGGCCAAATTTCCTACACAGATGCCCTATGACCAACAAAAAATGCTCCGTTTTCTGATGGGTCTTTGGCGACTCCTATGACACCTCCATGCAGTCATGCCGGCCACATGACCTTGGAGGTGTATACGGACAATGCTGGCTCTTCGGCTTAGAAATGGAGATGAGCACCACACCCCAGTCAGACATGACTGGACTTAATGCCAGGGGACAACCTTTACCTTTACCTGATACCTCATTGCGACCCCCCTCCCCCCACCCGAGGTCCTGACCCCCAGGTTGAGAAATGCTAGTCTAGAGGCTGTCTATGTAGTGAAGATAAATGCTGAAACAGCAGTTTAATTTTTAGAATTTCCAAATATGTTCAATATTAAAAGTTTACCAGAAAAGCACTCACTTGCTACAGAAATCAAAATCAAAGTGCATTCATTTGTCAATTCAAACAATATTAAAATAATATTGGAGAGCTATGAGATTGGGAAGGGAGGAGCAAACTATAGGCAAGCTTTAAAAAAAGATATTTTTTGCTTTCAACTTGAACAGCCTAATAAGAAGGAAAAAGAGAGGGAGAGATAGTCACACACACAAAAGAGGTAAACCAAATCACCCACAAACGGCCACTGAAATCAGGGTGCTCTAGGGATCCTGTGGATTGTGGATCACAACTGTAGGTATTTCTAGAATGGAAAGGTATTCCATGCAAAAGTGTAGGTACCGTAAGGAATAAATGAGCCAAAGTCAAAAATAAAAAACACAAAAATATCCTTTAATCTTTATACAGTAGTTTTAGCATAATGCACAAACATGGGCTCCTTTAGTGTTTCTCAAGTTCATCTGCCAAAGTGAACAATCACACAACACTGTATAATTCCCTACCCACCCCCCAAAAATTCACTTCTGAAACAGACATTTGATATTCTGGAATGTGTTGCGGTCCATTCTTAACATTATAGCAGCATTGAATTTTATTAACTTGAACAACAGAAAGGGACCTCATAACTAATCAGGCTTGCTTTATCCTCAAAGCTCTTTAACAAGCAGGGGAGTCATATACTGTAATTGCTATTCCACAATTTAATTGTTCTGTTCTTAAATCTAATTTTGCAGCTGTGGGTTAAGTGGAGACCGCAGCTTTTAAGAACATGAAAGCAAAGTACATCTGTGCAACAGAAAGCTAACCATCTCTTGATCGGATGTGTTTACAGTGCCATCAGATATTCCAGAATGGCTTGCAGCTCCCGCCAAAACTACAAAAGTGACTTTCAACTATTCTTAAAATCTACACAGACTACAAGGGTCTTAAGATGTTGCTGTTTGGGTACCATTTTCATTCACCCTAAAGACCAGATTTGTCCTGGTCTAATTCATCTGATGCAAAGGAAGTGGGGGGAATATGTTTACCTGTCCCTATCATTCCCTTTTTGGATAATTGGTCACGGCCCTAAAACAGTTAGTGTTTTAAACATTTAGGAAACAGATACATAAATTGCATAGAAAATAAGAACACAGACCAAGTATCTCCGAATCTGTTAATTCCACCACAGAGAAACATCAACAACCAGAGATCCTTCAATTTAAAAGGAAGCAAGAGCTACAAACTGTAAACTCTTTGAGCATCATATTCTGTGCAACTCACAGTCAAAGTGCTCTTTACTCACAAATATATTACTATACCAAGCCTGCAAAACAGTCAAAGAACACATGGGCTTGGAAATATCAGCTGTATTTTGTATACCATAAAGCTACGAATGTTGCAAACAGGAAACTGAAACCATTATGTAGAATGTGCTTGAAAATCTGTAGCATTGCTTTAAGATCTAGTATTTTTTAAAGGCGTACAGAAGCAAACTTCTACATTCAATTATAAAAGAATTCAATGCATCAACTGTGTAAGAATTGAAATATATATTTTTTGTAGTTTTAGTCTTTTTTTGCCAAATTTAATTTTTAAAAACCCTCTTAACAGTTTCATTTTAGAAAACCCCAGCACTTGCAAATTTTCCCCGTCCTTTTGTCAACAACACTTAATGCTAAGGAGGATCTTGAGTGACCAGTCTCCCTGATTCAGACTTCAGTTAAGTTAATAACTGGCCAAGAGATGTCTACTTCCCAGTTTGTCTGCCAAAAAACAGTATAGAAGCACCAATGGAGATAACAAGAATTCCTTTTCCTTCACCCAACATACTACATTTCAAGCCAGTCTTTGAAAACGTTTATGATAATCATAATTCAGAACTATCCAGAGCCTGTCGTAAAAGGGCCCATAACAAACTCGGCACAGTTGCAATTAACTTAATAGAATAAAGTCTTTTGCATAAAATAATAATAATAATAATACTAAAACGCGTATTTCTGGAAGGTGGGAAGGGGAATCTGTCGCAATGTTTCAGTCTCTTGCACACAGAATCCGATCTGGTACAAACACGTACAGTACTTCTCTTGGTTCGGTTAACTGTGAAGCAAAAACTGTCCTCAGAAAAGAAGAAATGCATTCCGATTGTTTAGGTCCCCCTCTTCCTCATAACGGTTTCTCCATGGGAGGGAAACTTAATCTTCAAGCTCAAAGCTCGTTTCGTCATATAGTTCAGGACGAGATGACCTGGAGTGCCGGGAATATTTCAGCTGTAAAAAATCTCCCATTTCATCTAGAGCGTTCAAGACCTGTAATACAATTACACTATATTAGAAAAACATAAATGCTTCTCGCTTCCACTCAGCATCACCACGAATAATTTACACAACTGTACAGCTGCATCCAGATGGGGCATTTATTGCTGAAGCGCCATGGCATGTTCAATTGTGTTTAATGAATGGCTGGGAAGGGGGTGGGTCCTCTCTAGTGTTGGTTAGAATAGCTACCACTGTTTCTGTCATTGCTCTTACCCAAGGAAGTCCAATGTAGGACTTGTCTATTCTAGCCTACAGCCTAAAGCGGACCAGAAGTCATTCATGGATGTCCAAACAATGTCCAGGGACCGCCTGTCCTTAACATGGGTTAACTCTATTACTCCTTTCCAAAAGTCAAGGAAGTCCTGACCCTAAATCATTGCTTGTCATCAGTAATGGACTGGATGAGGGCAAACAAATTGAAACTTCAGCCAGACAAAACAAATGTTTTTCGGAAGGCAGCCCAAGGCATAGGGATTCAGCCTTTGCTGGAAGGGGTTACACTCCCCCTGAAGACACAAGTTCACTGTTTGGTGGTCCTCCTGGATTAGGCATTGAACCTGGAAGCCCAGGTACATGCAGTGGCTAGGAGTTTGTCTGCACATTCAAAACTTGAGTGCCAATTGTGCCCGTTCCTTGAGAAGCCAGATCTGGCCCCAGTGGTATACGCATTAGTTACATCCCTTCTGGATTACTGTAATGCACTCTATGTGGGGCTGCCTCTGAAGAGTGCTCAGAAAGTTCAGCTGGTCCAAAGAGCTGGAGCCAGATTACTCACTTGGGCTGGCTACAGGGAGTGGACAACCCCGCTGTTGTAGCAGCTCCACTGGCTGTCGGTCTGTTTCCGAGCACAATTTAAAGTGCTGGTTATGACATTTAAACGCCTAGATCAGTGGTTCTCAACCTGTGGGTCCCCAGATGTTTTGGCCTTCAACTCCCAGAAATCCTAATAACTGGTAAACTGGCTGGGATTTCTGGGAGTTTTTAGGCCAAAACATCTGGGGACCCACAGGTTGAGAACCACTGGCCTAGATGGTTCAGATACAGGATGTATGGCTGACCGCATCCCCTTACAGCAGTGGTGCTCAACCTGGGGCCCCCAGATGTTTTTGGCCTACAACTTCCAGAAATCCCAGCTGGTTTACTAGCTGTTAGGATTTCTGGGAGCTGAAGGCCAAAAACATCTGAGGACCCCAGGTTGAGCACCACTGCCTTATATAAACCTACCTGGACCCTGAGATCTTCAGATGTCCTTCTCTCAGCCCCACCTCCATCTCAAGCTCTGTTGGTGGGAATGAGAGAGTGGGCCTTCCTTCTTGTTGGCTGCCCCTCGACCCTGGAACTCCTTTTTTTCCCCAGGGAAGCCAGAATGGCTCCCTCCCTGCTGTCCTTCTGGTGGAAGGCTGAAACCTTTTTATTCAGGCAGTCTTTTAAAGCTTTTAAAGCTTAAGCCAGGGGGTGCTGTGGTTTTATCTATATGGATAGGTTGTTAATTGGTTTTAACTGTTTATTTCTAATACCATTAATGTTTAATTCTATTTTAATGTTTGTATATTTTTCGGTTTTAAATTATACTGCATTGGTTTTATTGTGAGTCATTTGAGTCTCTTTTTAGAGAGATAAAATAGGATGCAAATAATAATAATAATAATAATAATCATCATCATCATCATCATAACAATAAACAGTATATAGTTTTTGCCCGTATTAAGCAAATTTCGGCAATGCTCTTGGATTTTGGTGAAACTCTGGAGCAGGTCTGCATTTTGAGTTTAGTGTTGACAGCTGGATCATCTCTAATCTGAACTGGTCTGTTGTCCAGTGTCCCAGCACCAGCATCATCTTTTCCCTATACACAACAGATCAGATCAGGGTCCCTTTGCTAACATCCAGGAGAGTTCTTGACTGTTGCCAGGCACCTTTGTTGACATCAGAAGGTCATGCAGGTGTTTTTGCTGATGTCACCAAAGGCACCTGGCAATGGCAGATATCAGCACAGACAGTGGTGACAGAGAAAGGAAAGGTAAGGTGACAGTCTGGCAGAGCCGAACCAGTTTCAGTCTGCCCCGCTTCAGCTGCTGCGGGGAAACGTGGCCAGTGTAGTCACCTCTGGGGCCAGTCTGGAGTATTGCTGTATAGATGGGCCCATACTCTCTACATTTTGAGATGCCTTTAGTGCTCCTATGATTTTAAAAAGCCAAGTTTTAGAAATTACTACTGCTCAGTGGAGCCTATCAAAATGTTTGGTACAACATCATCAGTGAGCACTATTTTAGCACTTATTTAGTGCTACATGCCAGCATTATCATTATTTTTAGACACAGAGATTTTATGTTCTGTTTTTAACTTGGTAATGTACTGCTCATAATCGTTCTAAGTTCTACTGCTCTTTCACAAATTATTTCAATTGATTTTTTTACTGCCTCATTCCTTGATTTTGACTAGGAAGATATCTGAGACACTAGGCCAAAGAAACATATCTTATAAACCGCCCAAGCAATAATGCAGAAAATCTGAAATTGATATTTATTCTTCCCCAATGTCCAAACACTTTAAACTATAGGAGGCCATCCTGAGAAATTAACAAGATAGAACAAAAATGTTTAGGGATTGGGAGGTGCCAGTATTGAAGGTTCAAGGAAGAGGGCATGCAGTACCCAGGAATAGAGTTGTTGTCCACTTCGACACTTATGAAAATAACCTATATTTATATGACTTTATGCATGTATGTGGGTATATCTATATAGAAAATAGAACTGTACATGTATCTAGACAATTAGAAATTCATTCCCTTTTCCTCTTAACCCATAGAAGAATTCTATTAAACTAAAACACACATTTACTTTTAAATCAAGGGTGGACACATGGTAGCCCTACATGCAACTCGTAAGTTATTTTTATGCCCCCTGGTACTGTTTAACATTTTAAAAACACTAGTTATTCAAAAGCAGAAGTGCCTCTGCTGTTGCTGTGGTTTTGTGTCTTCCCACCCTTCTATTCCCCCTATTTTTGGCAGTCTCTACTCCAAAGAGTCCCAGAAAATTGTCCCCTGGACCCACTGTGGTTGCCCACCCTGTTTTAAGTGGATGCAATCAGCTTCAGCAGAAAACCCTATTTCTATTTTATATTTCTTCTTAACAGCAATGAGATATCCTATTTCAAACAAAAAGATACAAGTTGTAAAAAAGCCAAACTTTCTACAATAATCAATGACAAAGACTAAGCAAAGGCACGCAATAAAGGCGGCACAGAGTCTGGGAGGCATGGCAAGTCTTCCCCAAACCCCTCCAACATGCACCATCCATTTTGCAAAGCCATTTGCTGTGCTTACCGTGTCTAATATCTCTCGTGTATGAGCAGCCGACACACAAAACCGAGCCCTGGATTCTGTGATTGGGGTAGCTGGAAAGCCAACTACTACCACTCCAATATTTTTGGCTAACAAACGTCTTGCAAAAGCCCTGGGCAAAGAAATATGAAAAATGTTATTTCCTTTATCATGCATTGAGTACAAACCATCAATAAGAAGGGCCATCTAGTCCAACCTCCTGCCATGCAGAAATACACAACTAAAGCACTCTTAAAATATAATTTTGTTCGTGTCAAGAGAGATTTGAGAGATTGCAAGTCGCACCAGTTGTGAGAGAATTAGCTGTCTGCAAGGACCTTGCCCAGGAGACGCCTGGATGTTTTACCATCCTGTGAGAGGCTTCCCTCATGTCTCTGCATAACAAGTTAGAGCTGACAAACAGGAACTCACCATGCTCCCTGGATTCGAACCGCCAACCTTTCAGTCAGCAGTTCTGCTGGCACAAGGGTTTAACCCACTGCACCACCAGGGGCTCCAGATAATATAATAAAATAATAATAATAAAAACTTTAGTTATAGGCCACCCTTTCTCCCTGAGGAGACTCAGGGCCATATACACACAAAAAAGGCAAACATTCAATGCCCTACACTAATACAAACATCTTAAAAAGTAATATAAAATAATACAAATTAATAACCATAAACCTATTAAAAAAGAGAAATTAACATCAAAATGAAAAACAGAATACAAATAATCAAATAAACATAATTATACTGTTAACACAATTAATGATTTGGACATATACCCTGATAGAATGATTTTTTTTTTGTCGTGTCAGGAGCGACCTGAGAAGCTGCAAGTCGCTCCTGTTGTGAGAGAATTGGCCGTCTGCAAGGACGTTGCCCAGGGGTTTAACCCACTGCGCCACCGGGGGGCTCCGATAGAATGATTAAGATGATGTAAACAGCTCCTGGATAAGAGCTCCATTTGGAAAAAAAGTGTTAGCTTTGTAAAAATGCACTTTGTGGCCAATGCTAGCATGCTCGTATGCACATTGTCAAGCATCTGTTTGTCATATTCACAATGAACCTTTAAAAAAGTATACCCATATCTTCATTTATTTCATTCTTGCATGCAAGACGAAAAGAAACATTTCCCCATTGTCATATATTTTAAAAGCATGTTTTTGTAACTGGGAACATTATGACAGTAAAATTTTTGATCAAAATAATTTTTCATACCAAAAGCAGAATCAATATAAAAAAACGAACTACTGCGCTATTCTTTCCACTCTCAGGGATTGGCTTACCCTCCTCGTTGGCTCTTTGCCTGCCCGAGGTAAGCAGCTGAAGGGCCAAGAAGTTAGGGGAAGCCAAGCCCTTTTGCCCCTTCCTCAGCCTCAGTGTTGGGAATGGGGCGAGGATGGCAAAATGGCTTGCCCTAGCAGGTAAGTGGAATAGCTGACTGAAGCCTCCTCCCAGCCTACTCCCATTCTCAACACTTGGGAAGGGCACAAGGCTAGTGAAGGGGCTTGGCTTTCCCTTGCTTGTCGGCCATTTCCCTGCCTGCCAGAGTGAGGCAAGCAGGGGAAAAGCTGAGAGAAAGGGGGAACCAAGCTACGCAAGGCTGGCAAAGGGGCTCAGGGGCCTGATCTTCCCTCATCTTTGACCCTTCCCCTGTCTGAAGCAGGCAGGGAAAAGGCCAAGACACAAGCATAAGACAAACTCCTTCGCCTGCCTCATACTTGTGCAAGGCTGAGGAAGGGGCAAAGGGGTTTGGCTTCCCCTTGCCTGTCTGTCCTTCTGCTGTTTGCCTCTGTTAGGCAGGCAGGGAAAGGGCCAGCCAACGAGTGGACGCCAAGCCCCTTCACCTGCACATCACATTCACAGGCAATTTTGTTTTGATAATGCACACTTCAACATTGGGATGCACATTACAAATAATGGCACACTACATTCAAGTACATACAGGCATTAAGATTAAAAGGATAGATAGGCAACTGCCGGGGCTTAACACAGCAAACTCATCCAGCCTGAAAAATTTATTTATTTAGTTAGTTACAGCTTTTATATTCTGCCCTTCTCACCCCACAGGGGACTCAGGGCGGATTACAGTGTACACATATATGGCAAACATTCAATGCCAATTTTGACGTACAACATATACAGACATAGACAGAGGCTATTTAACTTTTTCTGGTCGCCAGGGGAGCTGTCGCTTTCATTGTCCATCTGCGACGCTGATGAAGTACTTCCGCATTCCCTGCATGCTTTTTTTTGGAGTGCTTGCTGGAGTCTTTTTTATGGCCTCATAAATTAGTTAATTTAGCCTCCACACACTTTAAGGTGGTACCTTATTTTCCTACTTGACAGATGCAACTGTCTTTTGGGTTGCAAAGGTTGACAACAGGCTACACAATGGTTGGAAACCCACTCCAACCCAGGCTGGCTTCGAACTCATAACCTTTGGTCAGAGTGATCTTAATGCAGCTGACACTCAGCCAGCTGCGCCACAATCCCGGTGCTCTGAAGAGCATTCTGAAGAGCTGCCACAACCTGAACGAAATGAGAAGTTTTGCTTCCAAATGCCTGCAAGGGACACTGGGATATAATTTTTGTCATTTGGACCATTTTAGGGCTATGATGCCTTTATTCTTTTTATTTTAGGGCTGTGATATGTCATAAAGTACAATGGATCATGTTACCATATATACTCGAATATAAGCCAATTTCTTCAGTCCCTTCTTTAGTCTGAAAAAGCCTCCCTTCGGTTTATACTTGAGTCAAAGTTATTTATTAATTTACTGGGTTATTATTTTTATTACATTTATTATTTTATTCTATTTACTATTATTATTATTACATTTACATTATTTTACTCGATTATTATTTTATTACATTTATTATTTTATTCTATTTACTATTATTATTATTACATTTACATTATTTTACTCTATTATTATTTTTATTACATTTATTATTTTACTCTCTTTATTATTATTGGAAGGATACGTAAGCACATTTACATTGAAGAAGGTTCAAATAATGGTTTAATCAGAGTCGGACAGTCTTATCTTAAATTACAGTTTTATGTAAATATTCAAAAGCATTTAACCTACAGATGCCTCAATTAATGCAATTTTATTGGTATCTCTTTTTATTTTGAAATTTACCAGTAGCTGCTGCATTTCCCACCCTCAGCTTCTACTCGAGTCAATACATTTTCCCAGTTTTTTGTGGTAATATTAGGTGCCTCGGCTTATTTTCGGGTTGGCTTATACTCGAGTATATACGGGTACTTATATTCACCACTGTAATGAGCAGTAGCAACTATTTACTGGGAGCCCCCGGTGGCGCAGTGGGTTAAACCCCTGTGCCGGCAGGACTGAAGACCAACAGGTCGCAGGTTCGAATCCGGGGAGAGGCGGATGAGCTCCCTCTATCAGCTCCAGCTCCTCATGCGGGGACATGAGAGAAGCCTCCCACAAGGATGATAAAAACATCAAATCATCCAGGCGTCCCCTGGGCAACGTCCTTGCAGACGGCCAATTCTCTCACACCAGAAGCGACTTGCTCCTGACACAACAAAAAGCAAACAAACTATTTACTCTTTAATCACTGTAATTACTATCAGAAGAAACTGTTTCAAGAGATATATTCCAGAACTGATGGTCAGTAAGAGATTTGGCTAAGACTCTGAGAAGATGCAGTCAGTCAGGATAGAAAATTGTAGATGAGAAAGACACAGTCAGAGAAACCAGAGAAATGGTCAGAGCTGTTTGAGATTTTCCTACGTATTTTTAAAGAACTTTGTGAAATGAAACTTCTGAGCATTAGCTTCACAGAGTAACCAGAGTCACTTACCCAATTTTACCAGGTATGTAAAGCAGCAAAGGCACAACAGGGGAATCCTCGTTGCCATAAATAATGAAGCCTAGTTCATGCAACCTTCGTCTGAAATACCTCGTATTTTCTGATAGCTGGCGGACTCTCTGAAGTCCTGAAACAAAGAAGCATGGAAATATTGATGGGAGAAAATTATGATCCTCCTGTCAGGACAAAAACCAAGATCTAGTTCTTTGTGCTGAAGGCTGAGTAAAATATTGATTAAGACTACTTCATAATGTAATGCAACTTTTAATACATTATGTAAACATTCTACACAGCTCCATGTAATTATTTCAGACATGTAATATATAATGAAGGCAAAACAACTGTGACTACTGACTCAAATGGCTGAATGAAAGTAAGTCAACCATGTTCACCAATAAAGTGAAGGGTGCTTTCTTAGTTCAGTGAAAGGAACATATTAAAGTCTCCCTACTTTCTAGCCTTATCTCTCACCAGTCAAGCACTTTGGCAGAGGTTCAGATGAAATGATTCTTGGGATATTTTCCCACTCTTCAATTTTATGATTTTCTCATTTTTTTTTACTGCTTTGGAGTTGGGAAGAAAGCAAAGTGTTGGAACAATGATAGCAAGGAAGAGAAAGTATGTGTGGAGCAGTGAGGGTTAGTGTCCCTTTGCTCCTTATAATTTTACTCCCTTCACTTTCTATCTCAGTAAGATGGACAGGTGAGCAGTCACTTTGTCACACAGTGCACTTTCCTCTTTTCCTTTCAATAGTCATGGCTTCTCACATGACGCTCAGCAGGCCCTGCCCCATTTACCCTCAATGTGTCGAAGAAGTGTTGCAAGATGCTTCCTCGGCAACAATGGAGAAGCAAGTGGGTTTTGGGTAGCTCCAATGGAGCTATGCATATTTTTGGGACCTTTCCCCCATCTGATGGGGACAAGGCACCAACACGTCTTGTCCCATTGTCCCTGTCTGATGGGGGGGGAGGGAAGGAAGGAAGGAAGGAAGGAAGGAGGGAAGGAAGGAGGGAAGGGAGGGAAGGAAGGAAGGAAGGAAGGAAGGAAGGAAGGAAGGAAGGAAGGAAGGAAGGAAGGAAGGAGAGAAGTGGGGTGCACAAGGCACCACGTGCAACTGTCGGCGAAACAGAACAGGGGTACATATGAAGAGGTCTACAGTTAATCCTTTCCTGTTACTGACTCAAGAGTGTCATTTTTTGTCTTTGTCAACAATGTGATAACTTTGCCATCTCTTTAATCTTCCAATAGCCAAGGAAGTTTTATCTAGATTACTTCTGATGTTGGTTGGTTAGCGACAAGACACAAAGCACATGTTCGCAAAAACTTGCAGTCTCCCTTTGTACACCATGAAGTAGTTGATCTTGTGGCATCTCTGATCTTTTTAACAGCCTGATTGCATCACCATGTTTCCTTTTGTGGAGGCCACTGTCATACTTGACATTTTACTCTTTCCAGAAAAGCTATTAATGGCACATCCTGCTTCATCCCACTGAGAAATATTACTTTACAGTGTCTTTGGAGTAATTTTTAATTGGCACTCTTCTTAGGCATCACTTGAAGCCATACTATTTCGAATTTCCTTATATTAAAAAATACAGTAATTATCATAACCCTGAGGTTCTTCTCTTCATCACATTTGGTTTGAGAAATGAGGCATTTCTGCTCTTCTTATTTCCAAATGACTCTATGTTAGCACAGAATTGTAATTTATGGGCTGTAAAGAGATGTAAGTCTTAGTGCTTTTTTCTATTCTTTTTAATGACAACATCCCTCAACTACAGATGCACATAGAGATGTTAACGAGGATATCTGTGCAAGTAACTGTTGGGCATTGGTGTCACTATGTCCCTTCAAGCCATCTCTGACTTACAGCGACCCTATTACAGGGTTTCCTTCAAATAATTTGTTTGGGGTAGAGGGGGTGACCTTGCCTTTCTCTGACGTTGAGTGTGTGTTACTTTCATTTGAGAGGTGCCCATGGTTGAGCAGGGATTTAAACCCTAATATTAACAAACACACACAAAAATACTATACTGATCAGTATTTTGGAAAAACCTCAGTACTTGAACACAATTGCAGACCAATTACAGCCATACATGAAAAAAAATGGTTTGCATATCTTAGTTTTCCAAAAACAATGCTATTTCATGGTCTGGTGTCATTACCTAAGGAACAATGTCCTAGTTCAGCACTGAAACCACTATGCAACACTGTCTCTCACTTTTGGGCATAAGGACTAAGAGTTAAAACTGATGCTCCAGAATCTGCTACTGCACATGATTGTCCTTGCTGGATTGGGATCTGAGGCTATCTTCTTGAAGGATTCATTTTCCTGACTCGTGCACTTCATGTTTTTAAGACCAATCCTGCACATGGCTACCAAAGATTCTGTATCCTAGGAGTGCAGGATTCGTATAGGAATGCAGCTATGGTGTTTCACATGTGACCTAGAGAGATGAGAAGCACCAATTAGTCATTACAGAGATGTAGCATTTAGCTACATAAAGCCAGAAGGATCACAACTCTAGAATTCGCAGTATTGGACTACTGCAGGTCCTTTACACTGACTGTTCCTTGGCGATGGAACTCGCATCCAAAGAAAACCTGGCCGCTTCCTCTGTTCTCTCTCCATTGGCAGAAAAAACCCTTTTCATTGAACCAGTCTTTCAGCAACTTAGTGACTGTTGAGAAATGACTTTTAACAGATTGGCTTGTTGCTGTTAACTGCTGTTAAATCAATTTCAATGCATGGCGAATCTATGAAGAAGACACCTCCAAATCACCCTACTGCAATGAACAGTACTGTTTGGGTTTTACAGAGTCATGGTTTCCTTGATTTAGTGTATTTGTCTGTAACGTGGTTTTCCTTTTTTCTTACTGCCTTCCACCTTATGCAGCATTATTGTAATTTCAACTCAGTCATGTCTTCTCATGGTATGCCCAAAGTACGATGGTCTCCGTTAAGTCACCTTGGCTTTTAGGGAGCATTGAGGCTTGATTTGCTCTAGAACCCACGGTATCTGTTGAACTCTTCTCCAGCACCATGTTTCAAATTAGTGGATTTTCAGCTTCCTTCACTGTTCACTATCATATATAGAAACTGGAAACATGATTACCTGGATAATTCTAACTCCAATAGTTAATTATATATCTTAAAACTTCAGGATCTTCCCTATTTGTAATGTGTTCCCCAGCTGGTGTTAAAGCATCTCCATTCTTGGTTTAAATATACTTTTGATTTCTCATATCTTGTGAAAGGGGTTTCTTGTCTTCCTTTTTCTGTTGTCATCTTCTATTTCTCTGCATTGATTACTACAGTAGAACACAAGTTGCTGAAATGTTGTATTCAGGGTTCCTATCTGACTTGTATCACCTTTTTACCTTTGATTCCTCTCTCTCCTTAACTGTTTGAAGAGTTTGATCTGTGATCAATTAAAACTTCTCTTTCTTTTTGGCTGCAGTTAGGGTTTTTGCATCCCTCCCTGACTAGGTCCTCAGTTCAGTTCAATTCTAATTTTACATTACTTGAATGATGTTCACGTTGCATTTTGGCACAATAGCGTCCTTCTTTAGCTTTATCCAAATTTTAATACAAGTACATCATGGTCTGTATCAGAATTTGCTCCTGGTCTTGTACTTGCAGAGACAATGGAATTTCTCCACTGCCTGCATCCAATACGCAGTCTATTTTATTTCTATATTGGTTTTATTAGGTGATGCTCATGTTCATTTCTTGCTTGAAGCACATTTTTTGTGATGAACAGACTGACTCACAAAATTCAATCAGTGGCTCTCCTGCTTCGTTTCTTAGGCCAAATTCTTTGATTTTGCATTTTATTTGCACTTTAATTGTCTAGGATTAATTAACAAGTAGTCCTGTTCTGATGCATGATCAATTTGGATTCCTGCATAGAGTCTTTGAATTTCTTCCCCTTCTGCCTCTGTAGTTGGAGCATAAATGTGGTTTAATGTTATATTGATGTGTTTTCCCTGAAATCTTATTGATATTATTTGGTTTAACTTTGAAATTATGTTTTGGCTGTTTTTGCTACCTCACTCCCTACTATTAATGCCACCACATTTCTTCTTATATTTTAATTTTCTGTTTAAATTTCAGAGTAAAATCCTGCATAAATATCAGTCTACTTTAGTTCCCTCAGCTCAGGTACTGCAATGTTTATACCTTCCATTTTTTTGTCTTACTACGTTTATCTTTCCAATTCATATTTCTCACATTTCATGTTCCTATAACATGTGCGGTACAGATTCAGACTTTCTTTCGCCTCTAAGCACATTAACACCTGAACATCCTTTTGGCTTGAATTCAATTGTGTCACTAGCACAGATCTATTTGTAATTGTCCTCTGTTCCTTCCCAGTAGCTGTTGAGAGCCATCTGACCCAGGAGTTTTCACCTGGCACTATTGCTTGTTTCATTTTTGTGTTATCTCACCATATGGTCCTTCTTTGTAAAGTATTTTCAAAAGAGGTTTACTGTACCTCCCCTCATATCATCATCATCATCATCATCATCATGGGTGATCACTCAGGGCTGGGTGTGATTGTCTTCCAGAGGTAGAGTCTTGGCTGTGTATCTGTAAATTACTGTTAAGACCTATCCTGGAACCACATAGTCTTTCACATAGATTTCCAGATAGAAGGCAGTTACAACAAGGTTTTGCAAGTTTCTTCCTTTCGTCCTGTATTCATGCTTCATCAAAATCCATGGCACTGTTGGTAATAACTGACCTCCAGTTACAACACTCGTGTTGCTTCTCTTGGTATTTATACCACATTTTAAAGGTTAGCTTTAAACCCATCTTTAAATCTCTTTCACTGTTCACCAATATTCCATGATAGATCATCTTAGCATCTCCACAGTTTGGAAACAACTTGATGGTACACAACAACAACAAATTAAGCAACATGTAAGTAGTGAGTCAATATGATTAAGTGATTTAAGTTTTGGATTAGGACTTTGGGAGACCAGGGTTTAAATCCCTGCTTGGTCACAGAAATCCAAGGGATGCCCTTGGGCAAGTGAAATTACATCCTCTCATTTTGGAAAAGGCAATGGCAAATTCTTTTGAACAATCTTGTTGAGAAAACCACATAGTAGGTTTGTATA